CTAGGCCCCTGTATGACCTGTGGACTTCAACTCCCAGAATTCCTCAGCCAGCCAACATGGCTGGGGTAGGCCACTAGGCCCCTTTATGACCTGTGGACTTCAACTCCCAGAATTCCTGAGCCAGCCAACATGGCTGGGGTAGGCCACTAGGCCCCTTTATGACCTGTGGACTTCAACTCCCAGAATTCCTCAGCCAGCCCTGGTTGCCCACCCCTGCTATACACTTTTAAGACAGCCAGGTTGGTATAACATAAAATATTTCTCGACTTGACACCGGTTGCTCCAAGTTTACGATGGTCCCTCCAAAAGCTACAGATGACTCCATTTTAATACTTCCCGGTTTCCAGCCAAAATACGCCCCATCTGGCAAAACTGATTCATTTAACAACCCCTGTGTTCACTTAATGACCTCTATAAAAATGTCCCAAAATAGAATCCGGTCACACATGACACCTCAGTTTATGACGCCTGGGATTGATGACCCTAATTCCCTAAGGGGCTACTACAGTTGTTTTTAAGGTACCAGGCTCAGAACTATGAGGCACCGAATTCTAATCCTGCCTTAGGCACAAAGCCTGCTTGGGAGACCATGGGGCAGGCTCTCTCTTTCAGCCCCGAGAATAAGAAAGAGGCCAGGGCACACCAACTTCCAAAAATGTGGCCAAGAAAACCGCAGGGATTAGCCCAGGCAGGTGCCAGGAGACTTGAAGGCACACCCGCACACCCACAACCTCACTCTTAACCACAAGATAAACTCAAAACATATTGGGGTAAATAAACAAAACATCAGAGAAATTCACATCTAGGAACGGAACGTGCACAGGTGTATAAAGCATTAGGACAGTGGGGGTTTTTCGAACCTCGGCAACTTTTGAACCTTAGCAACTTTAAGACGGGGGGACTTCAACTCCCAGAATTCCCCAGCCATCCACCCCATCTTAAAGTGGCTGCGGTTCAGATTTATTTATTTATTTAGCCTACGGCATATCATACATGGACTAGCAATATCTATATATCTATATATCTATACATCTCTACCTCTACCTCTACCTCTCTATCATCTATCTATCTATCTATCTATCTATCTATCTATCTATCTATCTATCTATCTATCTATCTCTGTCTATCTCTCTATATACACACACACACACACATTTCATCTAGAATAGTAAACACAATAAAATATAAATGTTAAAAAGATCTATGACCAAATGCTAATGTGTAGGCCACAGGTAGGCAACCTTGGCTCTTTTATGACTTGTGGACTTCAACTCCCAGAATTCCTGAGCCAGCCATGCTGAGGGGAAAGGGAGAGGTTTCCAAGCTGAGCCATGCTGGCTCAGGAATTCTGGGAGTTGAAGTCCATGAGTCATAAAAGAGCCAAGGTTGCCTACCCCTGGTCTAGGCCATCTAACCATTGAAGCACAGCATCATTTATACACACGCGCTCACACGCGCACACGGACACACACACACCAATCCAGTAGTAAGCTTGCAGGCCAGTCACGATGTGATCTACAGTTTGAAACGGGACAACACAATCACACTGAAGGGAGGATACTACGCCCCATTTATACAGAAGAGTCTCGGCAGACGCCGTGTGAGCTGCGAATCCTATTCAGGATTGTCGATTGCTGAGGTGGTACAGGCAGTCCTCAACTTACAACAGTTCATTCAGTGACCATTCAAAGTTACATCACTGGGGAAAAAAAGCTACTTATGACCATTTTCCACACTTGCGCCTGTTGCAAGCATCCCCACACAGTGATGTGATCAAAGTTGAGACGCTTGGCCACTGGCTCATATTTATGACGGTTTGCAGCGTCCCGGGGGGGGGTCACGTTGATCCCCTTTTGTTTCCCCATTGAGAAGCAAAGCCAGATTCACTTAACAAGTGTGTGACTAACTTAAGAACTGCAGTGGTTCCCTTAACAACCGTTGTCAGGGAAGGTGGTAAAATGGGGGGGGGGGGGAAACTCACTTAACAAACGTCTCGCTTAGCAACATAGATTTTGGGCTCGATTGTGGTCATAAGTGGAGTTCAAAACATGAGGTTCACAGATACGTCTTGATACCAGACAGTCAGGCAAGCATGCGATCTTATTTTCAGGGTAGGCCTTACCTCACCTCTGGCACCGACAGCCCCACCCAGCCGGTCCGCTTCTTCTGGGGCCCAAGTTCTGCAGCTGCATTCGGGTCTGCATTTTGCAGTCAGGCCTTTCCAGAAGGCCTAAGCAGCCGAGTACCGAGCTATGGATTCATCCATAGCTTGGTGCTCAGCTGCTGAGGTCTTGCAGAACTGAGCTACGGATTGAATCCGTAGCTCAGTTCTCGGCTGCAGAGGCCTTCCGGAAAGGCCCGTGACTGAGAAATGCAGGCCTGGCTGCATAAGAGGCCTCAGAAGTAGTGGGCCAGCGAGGAGAGGCCTGGCTGCAAGGGAAGTGGGTGCGGGACACATGGAGCAGATCCACCTCCCCACCCCTGCCCTAGCTTGATTTTTCAGTGTGTGCCTCAGCCCAAAACTAGGGCTTATTTGGGGGGTAGGGCTTATATTAGGCCCACCCACCCCCAAATCAAGCTAGGGCTTATTTTCTGTGTAGGCCATACTTTCAGGGAAACATCAGTCACACCAGGAAGTAAAACCAATTCCAGCCTTACCCATCCCTGAGTCCTTTTTGGTGCCGTCCGAAATGATATCCACGTGGTCGCTGTCCACGTCGTAACTGAAGAAATCGTTCAAGTAGGTTTTCGACCTTTGCCCGCCAAACATGTACAGACAACGGTTTTTCTAAAAAGGGAAGAAAAAGAAAGATACGCTGTCAATTGCACTCAGTTTTTAAGGTACGGTTTTAGAACAGGGGTGTCCAACCCCCGGTCTGTGGACCGGTACCGGGCCGCGGCATGCCAGCAACCGGTCCACACAAACAAGCAAAGCCCCATCCGCGGGATGCAGGCAGCACACAAAACCATGTACCCTCCGGTCTGCGGAAAAACCTCTCTCTACGGAACCGGTCCCTGGTGCCCAAAAGGTTGGGTACCTCTGTTTTAGAAGACAAGTAAGTCCTCAATTTACAACCACAACCGAGCCCCAGAATTACGGACGTTAAGCGGCTGCCGTTGTTAAGCAAAGTAGCCAAGACCGTCCTTACTGAATGGAATAACATGCAGTGTCCTATTCTGGATTGGACGTCTTCGGGGCCAGCATTACACGAATCTTCTCGCAAGAGTTTCCATAGCCGGCACTGACAGTCAAAAGCGAAGAGGCCGCTGAATTGTGGCTCGCTGGCTCGGCTGTCGTCCACACTGCCGTTGCAGGTCAAAATCCTGCCCCCGAAGGTGTAGATCATGTGTTTCTCTGAATCCATGCACATCTGCAACAGATGGAAGGCATTTCCAGTAAAAGTCACACATGTGATAGGGTAACATGAAAAAAAGAGTGGTGGTTTTATAGAGAGAGAGAGAGGTGGACAGAGAAATAGAGAGCAAGATAATTAGGTGATATAAAGACAGAAAGACAGACGGATAGACGGATAGATAGATAGATAGATAGATAGATAGATAGATAGATAGATAGATAGATAGATAGATAGATAGATAGATAGATAGATAGATAGATAGAGACAGACAGACAGACAGACAGACAGACAGACAGACAGACAGACAGACAGACAGACAGACAGACAGACAGACAGACAGACAGACAGATGATAAATATAGGTAGAGATTGAGATAGACAGACAGACAGACAGACAGGACAGACAGACAGATCTTTGGGTCCAAACCTTGACAACTTTAAGACTTGTGGACTTCAACTCCCAGAATTCCCCAGCCTTCTGGGAGTTGAAGTCCACAGGTCTTAAATTTGCCAATGTTGAGAAAAAGAGTTATAGACATTTTATTTTTTTTAACTCTTCTTTCCCATCTGTTTTCTTACATACATAAACGTAAACATACACTAACTTTTCTCTACGCATTTTTCTTTATATTCTTTGAACTTTTCTCCTTCCTTCTGTTCAAAGGTCCTTTTACAGTTTCCTCTTTTCAGCCCACTCTTTCTTGTCAAGCTTTTTATATTTGGACTTCACCACCATATTTTCTCCCAGGGACATGAATCTGATTTCAATCTCAGCTAAAAAAAAAAAAGTGATCTGGGTAGATCTCTCAGAAAGCGAAGAAGAGAGAAAGAAAAGTTGGTGGAAGATCGAATTGCTATCATCATTCACTCTTTTTCTGGATGGAAACTGTAATTCTTTTTGTAAAAAAAAGAAGCAAAACCTGCCCGCTGTGATTTAAAAAAAATCTAATTATATCAAAAATAAACACTTCCCACTGATTCCACCCTCCTGCTTCCTGTTGTGTCTTCTACTACTGATTCTACATTAGATCAAGTTGGTCTTTTAACATAATAGCAGAGTTAAAAGGGACCTTAGAGGTCCTCTAGTCCAACCCCTTGCTCAAGCAGAAAACCCTATACCATTTCAGACAAATGGTTGTCCAGTCTCTTCTTAAAAACCTCCAGTGTTGGAGCATTCACAACTTCTGGAGGCAGGTTGTTCTACTGGTTAATTATTCTAACTGTCAGGAAATTTCTCCTTAGTTCTAGGTTGCTTCTCTCCTTGGTGAGTTTCCATCCGTTGCTTCTTGTCCTGCTTCAGGTGCTTTGGAGAATAGCTTGACTCCCTCTTCTTTGGGGCAGCCCCTGAGATATTGGAACGCTGCTATCATGTCACCCTTAGTCCTTCTTTTCATTAAACTAGACATACCCAATTCATGCAACCGTTCATGTGTTTTAGCCTCCAGTCCCCTTATCATGTTGTTGCTCTTCTCTGCACCCTTTCTAGAGTCTCAACATCTTTTTTTATATCGATGCAGGATTCCAAGTGTGGCCTTACCAAAGCATTGTAAAGTGGTATTAACACTTCATATGACCTTGATTTTATCCCTCTGTTAATGCAGCCTAAAACTGGGTTGGCTTTTTTGGCAGCTGCAGCACACGGCTGGCTCCTATTTAAGTGACTCCAAGATTCCTGTGCTGGTTCCTAGCTAGCTTAGGAAACTGTGTGTAGAGCAAGTAGCATTTTAAGGGTTAAAGTGCTACCCTCTTAAGGGTGGCCTTCTGGGAAATGTAGTTTAGTTGTTACATGGTTATATCTGTGTTCTAATTGGCCACTGGGAGGGTCTTGTGTCTTTATTACGGGACATCCTGTTACGTGCCAGGTTTTATTATCTCTCTCCATGAATCCTAGCCACGTAGCAGCATGTGAGATTTATGAAGATGGAGGAAAATTATTCTCTTTTTACCTGCGTGAATGGAATGAATACAAATCACGTTGATTCAGATGTATCTTCAAGAACTGTGAGTTACTGCTCAGATTGCCTGGTCCGTAAATATTCTGCGAGTTATTCTCTATCTGGATTATGGCCAGAGCAACCGCCTACAATCCAGAATAATCCCTCTTGCACACAGTCTCACCACAACCCTGGATTTTGCCAGCCTCGAATGACGAATACGAATACTGATTGACCAAAGGTTCCAAATTCTCTTAATCTTAGGGTGTGAATCGCACTGACCTGGTGGTCGAACACAAGCTTGGGGCCTCCATCGGCGGCCGTATCTTCGCTCAGCAACATCCAGGTGTTGGTGTCAATGTCGTAGCGGTAGAAGTCGCTTTTCAGAGATTTGCTGTTCCTCACAGAGGAATCCAAGTAACGCCCCAAGGTGTAGATCTGCCTCCGTTGGATGTCGATGCACATTTTGTGACAGGACCGGGCAGTCGGACCGTTCTGGAGAGCAGAAAGAATGGGAAAAGGATCAATCTTAAAACGTTTCATTTAAAAATCGACGCAAAATTAAAGCCGGGAAAATCCGTAAGGTTATTGAGGGTCCAAAAGATGGAATGTTAAAATAAATAAGAACATATAACATCATTGATAAATGTAAGAAAGCTATTAAGTGACTGAGGGATAGAATAAGAAGTAGATGAATTTAAACGAGAGACAGTATGTATTAAGGGAAGAAATATTGGCTGTAATAGTTGGAGATTTGTATTAATAACACCTGTATGTAGTGGAATTATTGTAACTCGGACACCACGTTGCTTTTCAAAGATATAATTGTAAAATTATATAATGTAAAAAGTTATATATAAAAAAAGGATGGGAAATGGGTTAGACTGGTTCACGGGGAGACCAGGCTGGGGACTGCACAGAGCTTGGGATTCAGCTGTCTTCCCTCTGTGAAACACACATGAAGAGGATCTGGGGTTCTTGTACGGTCCTTGACTTACGACAATTGAGCCCAAAAGGTCCGCTGTTAAGCGAGACAGCTGTTAAGTGAGTTTTGCACCATTTTGTTGTGATTCCTCACCAGCCAGTGGACCCGGCAGCTGAGGAATCAGAGGAGGAGGAGAGGGGGCCTGGAGTGACATCAGAGTCAGAGGAAGGTTCTGAGGAGCTCCAAGACTTACAGTCAGACAAGGAGCCTGGCCCCTCTACTCACGCTCAGGCTGAGACACAGCTGTGCTGGGAGCCTGAGTTGGACAGTGATGAAGAACAGCTGGGACAAATCCCGGATGCACAAATGCGCAGGCAAGAGAAGCGAGTAGGACAGAGGAATGCCCTCTACTCACGCTCAGGTTGAGACACCGCTGTGCTGGGAGCCTGAGTTGGACAGTGATGAAGAACAGCTGGGACAAATCCCGGATGCACAAATGCGCAGGAAAGAGAAGCGAGTAGGACAGAGGAATGCAATGGGGCAGCTCCAAAGGCAAAGGAGAAGGCATTAGGAAGTCACGCCTTGGCTGTATTATAAAAGGGAAGGTGTCGGAGGTGCTGGTGGCCAAAGGCAGCCGTTTGTGTTGAGGATCGAGTTTCTGTGGACTGTGTTTGTTTGCCTTGGACATTGACTCAGATCTCTGAGAATAAAAGGGGTTGGTTTTTTCTTGCGGTCCCTGCCTGTTTTGTGGAAGAGGGGTTTCTCCTTGTGAGCATAACAAGGACTCACGTAGGCTGGGACAGAACACATTTTTTGACCTTTCTTGCCACAGTTGCTAACTGAATCACCGCAATTGATAAGTTAGTAACCCAGCGGTTAAGTCAATCTGGCTTGCCCATCGACTTTGCTTGCCAGAAGGTCGCAACAGATGAACACATGACCTTGGGAACAGCAACTGTCATAAATACATGCCAGTTGCCGAGCCTTTGAATTTTGACCACGTGACCCCGGGGATGCTACAAAGGTTGTAACTGTAAAAAACGGTCACAAGTCACATTTTTCAGGGCGGTTGTAACTTGGAAGTCAATGGGGAAGCCAGATTCACTTAACAACCGTGGGAACCATTTTAACAACTGCAGTGATTCACTTAACAACTGTGGCAAGAAAGGACACAAAATGGGGCAAAATTCATCTAACAACTGTGTGGCTTTGCAATGGAAATTCGGGGCTCAAAATGTTGCGTATCTGCATCTGTGCATCTGTAATACACAGTAGTAATAATATAGCATTTTTAAGCCTTGAAAGTATTAATTAGCAATATTTGGTTCTACAGCTAGGACAGTAAGGCCAGCAAGATGCAAGTTTTGAACTTCGTGAAGTCAGGAGAACTGAACTGAAGTTGCTACTCAAGGAAAACCCATTTTTAAATCCTTCCCAATTCCTAGACCTCCAGATCCTTGCCGGCTACCGTACCAAAGGATTTAATTTAATGCTTTCTGTGCATAGATATTTGATGAAGCCCAGCAGTTTGCTGGATCCAACTCTCCAATCGTTTCCAAAACTTCCATTAAACATGGGTTGTTGTTTTTTTTTCCCCTGCTTCATTCTGTTCTGCCAAAGCATCTTTTGTTTATTTTTCAGCAACGGAACAGCCAACTTTTCCATCCACTATTATGAAAGATGAGGAGGAGGAGGAGAAGACGGAAAAAAAGGGACGTGACTTTGTATTCTCTCAAAATGCACGAGAAGGAGAATGTGAGAGGGTGACCTCCGTGCTTGCTCACAAGTGTGTTATTTGGGCCAACACCCAGCTTGGATTACGCCGTGCGCTGCTCGGGAGACAAAGACACACTTGCCTCTTTTTCAGTGTCTCTGGATATACACGTCCACTGATTTTCCTTCACGCTATACGCCCAGAAGTCAGCCAGGTCTTGCGTCCCATCCCAGCCGCCGAACAGATAAACTGTTTCTGATCAAAACATTAGAAAAAGACATTAGTCTGTGACGTGTGGGGCCACGGTCAGAAAGCTTACTTATACGAAGGCAGAATATTTTTTTTCAGAAATTTAAAACTCCCTTGGTATGACATTTCCAGGTAACTCCGAAGGGACTTTCTGCTGAACCAGAACTCAAAAGATGATTATGTGAGGCTGCATTGTGTGATGGTAGACTAGGAGTGGAGTGAAGGATTAGGAGCGACATGATAGCAGTGTTCCAATATCTCAGGGGCTTCCCCAAAGAAGAGGCAGTCAAGCTACTCTCCAAAGCACCTGAAGGCAGGATAAGAAGCAATGGATGGAAACTAATCAAGGAGAGAAGCAACCTAGAACTAAGGAGAAATTTCCTGACAGTTAGAACAATTAACCAGTGGAACAACCTGCCTCCAGAAGCTGTGAATGCTCCAACACTGGAAGTTTTTAAGAAGAGATTGGACAACCATTTGTCTGAAATGGTATAAGGTTTCCTGCCTGAGCAGGGGGTTGGACTAGAAAACCTCCAAGGTCCCTTCCAACTCTGTTATTATTTTTCTAAGCAAAGCCGTGAAGCAACATCCATCCAAAATTACTGCTGTAGGATGCAACAGAGCTCCAGAGTGGGGAAATGTGATTTAAAAAAAAGAGAGAGAACGATCTGGATGTAACCTCTGCTTGCAACAGCTGTAATGGCCAGTATCAGCATCACCACCAAAAGGTTACCTTGGGTCATTAACTGTAATTACACTGTTTATTCTGGGCACCGAGTAGCCAGTGTTCTTTGCAAAGAGTACATCTCTTTGTGTGCCTAAGTTCTCACAGCTTACAAAACCCACATTTACTACAATGGGCCAATTGATAACCCCGTGGAAGGGGAAAAAACGGGTTGGGCGCATGCCGCACATCCAATGAGGCCTCAGATAAAAGCATCTTGCACAGCCTAAGAAGGGCACACCATTCACAAACAGGAATTAATCAGATGGGGGGAGCTGGCAGAAGGAAAACCCTCCAGAGTAAACACAGAAGCTCTTAAGATGGCATAGGAGACAGGCAGGCACGTCTGTCATTCCCCTTATTTTGAAATGATACGCTGGAAGACTCGGCCGTCCCTCGCCTTCCTAAACGCAGAATTTGTAAAACTCCCCGATTTTTCAATCTCCCGATTTGAGGTGGAGAGGCTGTTCTCTGGAAGTGACATTGCTATAAATACCGAAAGTTATTTTTGGTCCCTAGTCAAACTTAAGAATCGTGGAACAAAAGCCCTCTTGTTAAGAAAGAATTATTTTAAATGCCTGTTTAAATGCCTCTTCGAATGCCTCTTCCCTTGCCATATGTATTCACATTCTTGAAATCGACATTTTTAAAAGGTCAGAACACGACATCTCAAAAGATCCACCCTACGTACCCTCATAAATTTGGTTTTTATATTCCAGTTTCCAATTTTTCAGGTTTGTTACCCAACTGCCGTTCTTAGAAAGAACTTCTTGTTCTTTTAACACTGAAGTCATGATTTTGCTTTCAATTTCTTTCTTTCTATTCTTCCTGAGCTGACGCAGGGAAGGACTGCGGCTGATAAATTTGTCAAGTTACTTGCAAGTTGCACAATGGATAATCAGAGCTGCATTGCTGGAACTACAATTGGGAGTTAGATTTACACGCTGTGCTCAGCAACAATAAACAAACCGTCTTATGGTTTAACATAATGCGCCAGTACCTCGAAGACTTGAATTTTTTTAAAAAACAAAATCCAAATTTTAGCTCTCTTCGTGAATTTCCTCACATTTTTCGGACAATGTCATCCCCGTAACAGACTACAGGTAGTCCTTGATTTTACAACCATCGTCTCATTTAGCGACCGTTCAACTGGGACCAGTTTTTCCATTGCTAATCCAGGTGGTTGTTAAGGGAGGGGCACTCGATTTTATGACCCTTTTTTGCCACGGTCGGTAAGCGAATCACTGCAGTCGTTAAGAGAATCATAGGGTGGATAAGTGAGTCAGGCACCCCCTTGACTTTGCTTGTTGAAGCTGGCTGGGGAAATGCTGCCACTGTCCTAAATAATAATAATAATAATAATAATAATAATGATGATGATGATGATGATGATGATGATGATGATGATGACTCGATAGGTAGACAAAATGCCAAATCCAGTCTGAACATCTGGCTGACTGTGCGATGATCCATAATAATAATAATAATAATAATGATGATGTTGGAAGGGACCTTGGAGGTCATCAAGTCCAACCCCCTGCTCAGGCAGGTAACCCTATACCATGCAGGTTGACAAGCACCTGGATTTTGAGCGCATGATTGTGGGGAAGGCTACAATGGTCATAAGAGTGAGGACCAGTCATAAGTTACTTATGACCATGAGCCAGCAGTGTGCAGCAGCAGCCAAAAAAGCTAATACAATCCTGGGTTGTATAAGCAGAGGCATAGAATCAAGATCACGTGAGGTATTAGCACCGCTTTATAAAACCCTAGTAAGGCCACACCTGGAATACTGCAGCCAATTTTGGTCACCGTATCACAAAAAAGATGTTGAGAGTTTGGAAAAAGTTCAGAGAAGAGCAACTAAGATGATCCGAGGCCTGGAGACTAAAACATACAAAGAACGGCTGCAGGATTTGGGTTTGGCTAGTCTAAAGAAAAGAAGAAATAGGGGAGACATGATAGCAGTGATCCAGTATTTGAGGGGCTGCCACAAAGAAGAGGGGGGGTCAAACTATTCTCCAAAGCACCAGAGGGCAGGACGAGAAACAATGGTTGGAAACTGATCAAAGAGAGAAGCAACCTGGAATTAAGGAGAAACTTCCTGACAGAGAGGACAATCAACCAGTGGAATGGCTTGCCTCCAGAAATTGTGGACACTCCATCACTGGAGATTTTTAAGAAGAGGTTAGACAGTCACTTGTCTGAGATGGTATAGGTTCTCCTGCTTGAGCGGTGGGCTGGACTAGAAGACCTCCGAGGTCCCTTCCAGCTCTATTCTATTCTGTTCTGTTCTATTCTATTCCATATATTCTATTCTATTCTATTCTATTCTATTCTATTCTATTCTATTCTATTCTATTCTATTCTATTCTATTCTATTCTATTCTATTCTCTATTCTCTATTCTTCTATTCTACTTTATTCCATGCTGTGGTAACTTGGAAGGATTGCTAAACAAAAGTTTGCCAGTTGAGGACTCTGCGTCAGCATGTTTCTGCAGCCTTTAACTCTGGAAACTAATATTTGGAATCTCTAATCGTTGGACGAAAAAGATTCTAGAGCTGTTCTAGAAAAATCTGCCCTGAAGCAAGTCTGGAGATATGTTATTTCCCATCATATGTCTCATGTTGCAATCTCATCGTTTTAGAATTCTCAAGTAAAATCTCAGCTCCTATCCCACTTTCTATCCACTAGGAGGTGCTTTCCAACTGCATTAGCACGTACTGAAATAATGCGGATGGGGTACGACAATTTAATCCCTCTACGCGATCATGACTAGAACATGTAAAGTTAATTGGAAGTAGAAAGGAGAGATAAATACTTGGTGGCAATTATTTAGCCAAACGGAAAGGGGTCTTGCATGAATTAAATCTCAGCGACATTTTTTTTTAAAAAAAAATTTTTTAATGCTTGGGCATTATGATTATTTGGGAATGACGTGATAGAGGTCAGAAGCCAGCAGGAACAGTTGAGAAAGTTTTTTCATATTGTTTTTTTTTTCCCCTTCACATTTTCAAGATGGCTCGGAAGAACTGGACATCGGAATCCACACAATCAACAGGAAAAAAAATAAATAGGCATTCAGATAAAGCACGTGGGACGTTTTAACGAATATCAAAATTCAAAGGAAGAAAGGGGGGGGAAAGGGCTTTATGACAACTGGTTCCAAATGGTTCCAAGATATCGAAACAGCCAGAATTCAATTCTAATAGCAATCTGCTTGCGCAAGAACCAATTAAATACAGATTTAAGACGCCCACTCTTGAGTCAACAATATTTCCTGTTTATTTATCTTATTCTTTTTTTTTTTTTTTTTTTTGCAAAATTCCTGTACGATGTCCCAGAGGTGCTTTTTTCAGGAGGCAACTGGACTTTCTTGTTTTTCTTTGAAGACCCTGAGGACACAGATAAACCTCCAAGTGGCCTCAACGACTCTCTCAAAGAATGCAAATGACCAGCTGTCTGCAAGGAGTATAAATCCTTCCATTCCCCACCATCAAGTCAGAGCTGAAGAAGCTTCTGGGATGAGAAGCGAAA